CTCCATCTTCTTCTTCTTCTCCATCTCCCGCGCAAATTCAAACCCTCCACCCCGTCTTCTGCTGTCTAACGGTACAAAACCACAGCAGCAACAAGCAGCAAGAGCCCGTAATCAAGCAGAGGCCACTCCATATCTGGACGCCGTTGAAATCCGTGGCTCCGTTTGTGCGCTTGAGCAGGGCGCCGGCAATCGGGGCGCCGATCAGCGAGGCGATGCTGCTGCCGCCCCACGACATGCCGATGCGCGTGCCGAGGCGCGAGTGGTCGGGCGTGATGTTTGCGAAGGCAGCCGTGGGCACGGTGACGAGGCCTGCGGAGAAGAAACCTAGGGGTGTTTTGTTAGTATGCAGGGGGATGAGGTGGTAGTGGGGGGGGGGGGGATCTAGGCCATGATGATATAAAGAGAGAAAGAAAGGAGAGAAAAAAAAACATACCATACAGCACGCTAAACGCCCTAAACCCCTTGATATCCTCAATCGCCATCCAGCTCAACGCCAGCACACCACTGCACGTCGCGCACCCGACCCACGTGACAATGGGCCCAAACAGATGGGCCGCAAGCCCGCTTCCCAGGCGTCCGAAAAAAGACCCTGAAATTGCAATGACAAGCATGTATAACGCGGCGCTTTCGCTGGTGCCCAGGCGCTCGCGTGCGTACGTCGGGATGTAGAAATAGGGAACCATGTACCCGAGATACGTGGCGAAGGTGCAGATGGTGAAGATGAGGAAGAGGCGGTCGTGAAGCGCGGTTTTGTCGAAGAGGGCGCGGCGCTGGCTGGGCGGCTTGATCATGCTGGAGCCGGAGAGTAGGGCGGGGATGGAGAAAAGGGCGCAGGCGAGGGCGACGAAGCCCATGGCGCGGATGGCCCAGGGGAACGAGGCGGTTTGCAGGAGATGGTTGAACATGAGGATGTAGGCTACGCCTCCTGTGTGTGTGTGTGTTAGCATGGCTTCTCATGTATCCTTATTATTATTTTTTTGTTTCTTTCTTCTGGCATATATCGTCTTGATATCCCATCTTCCCCTTTCTCCTCCTCTTTCTTTCCCCCATGCCCATGTAATCCCCGGCACCCACCCCCAAAGCGTCTCAAGAAAAAAGACAACAACAAAAAAAGAAGAACAGGAAGTGGGAAAGTCCTTACCAACAGCAATCCCACTCATAACAATACCCATAGCAATATTCCTCCTACGATCAAACCAGATACTCACCAGCGCCAAACTGGGTATATACAGCAAGCCGGCACCGAGGCCCATGCACACGCCCTGGCTGAGAAAAACATGCCAGTACCTCGTCGACAAGCTGAGCATCATGATGCCCAAGACGACGAGGAAATTGCCCGCGAGCAGCATAGCGCGGAAATAGCCAAGGTCGAATAGCGGGCCTGACAGGACGCCGACGAAGATGAGTAGCCACGCTTGCGTGGTGCCGATCCACGAGATGGAGGATGCAGACGACGACGCGAGGAGCGTGCTGCGGTAGTAGGTTTGGAATGCGCCGTACGACAGTGTAAAGCCCCAGATGTTGATGTAGATGAGGAAGCCGCCGCATACTTTGAGCCACGCGTGCAGACCGCCGTCGGTGCGCCCGCCCGAGACGGATGCGAGCGTGGATTGGGCGTCGTATTGCGATTCTTTGGCTTGCCCGCCGGGCGTGATCCAGCGTCTTACGTTGTTGTTGTTATCGTTGTCGTTGTTTTCCTCGTCGTCGTCATGTTGCTCGTGCGAGATGGCTTCTTCGCCGTTTTGAGATGGAGACGACGAGCGGCTGTATTTTTCCTGCGCGAGGGCCTTGTCGTCAACATGGTGTGTAACTTTTTCCTCGTCGACTATGTATTGCGCCTGCATCTTGAGCTACTCTTTTTTTTTTCCTTTCCCTTTCCCTTTCTTTTTTCTTTCCTATTCTCTCTCTCTCTCTCTCGGCCTCACCGCCGTCTGTGGTTAAACGAGATTAACGATAACCAGCAGCAAAATACACCGAGTGTCAACAAACTAGGCCCGAATCGGTTATGCCCAGTGCGTACATGAAATTAAACTTCAGAAAAAAAAGAAACAGTGCTCAAGCTCTGCTACTGGGCTTCCTCGAGTAAACCACTCTTGCGACGACGACGATGATGATGACGATGATGATGACGATGATGATGACGATGATGATGATGATGATGACAAAGCGATGTACTTATATCCAGGACGGACTTCGGAATTACAAAAGGCCAAAAAAATACAATTTGAAGATTTTTTTTTCTTTTCTCGATTGAACAAAGAGAAGTGGTACAGGAGTCATGCGCGTGAATCAGCCTTTTATATGCGGGAAAGGCCACCGTTTTATGGTCGCCCCGCGGATGCTGTGGAGCTATTTCGTGTCACGAAAAAAAAGGTTTCTACTACCAAGTCATGGGATAGTGCTCAAAAGTCACGTAAACATGATAAGCGTGTGCCGCGGGTGCTGTGGAGTCATCCGTGTAATGGAAAAGGTTGCTCGCAAGTCATGGAATACGGATTACAGTCATGGAAGAAGCTTGCTCAGCGTGGACCGGAGGTCTCTTCACCACCTCAATAAGGCAAGCATATGCAGGCCTTGGCGCCCGGAACTCGGAGTATACTGTAGAGTATTCCGCCAGGTTGCGGCTGTACATGTAGAGCGGTAGCGCTGCAATGGTTGTGTCTACTGCTCCCTGTCTATAGAGAGTTGTTGATAAGCGTTTTTCCTGCAGGATGCTTGGGCCTTGGAGGGCTTCTGCTCTAGGAGTAGGCTCGGAGAGAAGACATGTGGGCTGGGCCGGTGCTTTAAGTACATTGGTGAGTACGTACTTGTATGACGGTGGAAGATTATGATTACATGTATAGTGGGTGCGGGGCTGGAGGGGGGCAGCCGAGGGTATGCGGCTACACTGCACAAAGCGCGCCAGGGCCGCATTTTGAGAAGACAGCGGGCAGCGTGTGGCGTGTGCCGTTCTAGAACGGCGAGTATTGGGTGGGAATAGTACGCGTGCGTCCTTGGCAGAAGAGGCCTGTCGCCGCAATCATCACACACTACTAGGTACGATACGGGCCGTCTCCTGTGATCAAAGCCAAGGTGCTTATGCCACGCCGGCACTTTACTGTAGCCATGATTGACCGTCGCCACTTATCGGTGCAGCCAAAGCCTATTTCTGAAGATGCGGCCGCGGCTGCGTGTCAGACGGCAGCCCAGCTTTGAGAAAGTCGACTTGATGTAAGCGCTCGGCCTTAGTCACCAAATCGCGTGCTGACGAGGGATCCAGGACATGTTGCGTGACGTGATTGCTTGTGGCTGCTACTGGCTGCTGCCCCAGTCTCGCACAACAGACGAGCCCAGAACCTGGCCATGTGCAAAATACACCTAGGGAACCGCGAAGAGACGATGAGGCGTCCGAGTAGAGAAATGAGCTTTCATTTGATTTATCCGCCACGTGTTTGAAGAATCGACAATCGCAGTTGGTCTGGCAATCTGGTAAATAAAGCCCGCAAGAAATGTTACACAACCGCACCGGTGCTGTCCAAGCTGCTTAGCTGGGTCCGCTCGCGGGTCGAAGATGGAAGTTACGTCTCCCAAGTCGCTTGTTGGGCGCTCCTGAATCAAATCAACAAAACCACTGCCACAGTCGTTGCGAGCTCAAGCGGCCGGCTTTGCGAATTTGGCTTTCCTGGCTTCCGCGGCTGCCCTGTCCTTCTCGCTCATCCAGCCTGTTGGCTCACCACTGCCAGTCTTGTGCTCGCTGCGACGGTTGTCCCGCCCATCCCGAGTCCGGTTATCGCGGCGTCCTCCACGGCCTCCCGTGCGGCCTGCATCACGGCCTGCATCACGGCCTGCCTCGCGACGCTTATTGCTGCCAGCATCCTCACCACCTTCACGCCCGCGCTTTTGGCGGCGCTCTGGGAGGGCCTCATCGAGACCCTTGGGCGGGCCGACTTCGCCAAATTTCTTCGCCCTCTCCAACTTCTTGAGTCCCTCGTCATCCTCGAGCTTGGTGCCAAACTTGAGGGCGCGCTTCTTGCGCTTTTCAATCTCCTCGTCGAGGTTTGTTGCGGCGAGGCCTCTTGAGTAGTCGGGAGCGGGCTCCTTCTTCTCCTCTGGCTTCGTCTCTGCACTCTCCTCGGCTGTGCCCTCCGCTGGTGCGCTGGATGTTAGGTCGTCTGTCTTGGCGGGATCGATATCGGCTACTTGGTTGGGCACTGCCTGTGGGTTTGGTGGCTGGCCCTCACCTCCGGCCTTTTCGACAATCTTTTCGTTGGGAATAGCGCCCTCGGCGGCAGGTGCTGCCGTCGTCGAGGTAGCGGGCGCAGGAGCGGCAGCGGCATCGTCATCGTCCCAGTCAATCTCGTCTTCGGCGCCAGCAGCGGGTTTCGCGTTTGCCTTTTCGTCATCTTTCTGTAAGCGCTCGACCATTTCTGCCTTTTTGCCCGTGTGGGGCAGCTTGCGTTCCTTGAGGAGCGCTGACAGCTCGTCGTTCTTCATTTTTGCGTATTCCGTCATGTTTGCGCGGTGAATTGGAACGTGTGAGTAAAGCGTAGTAGGCTTGACGCGACGCGCAGACAGGGGCGCGTGTAGGGGAGCTGACGGAGCTTCCTGGAGGTGTTGAACGAGTGTGCGGAATTCGTAAACAGCAGTCGATTCAGTGGCGAAGGAATAACAAGAACAAGTAGGGGCGCGCAACGTGGTTGATGAAGGCGCTGCTGGTCGCGATTAAACAATGGGTGTCCTCAAGGGAACCGCGGATCAAGTGAGAGTGGAGCTCCGACCATGCGCGCTAGTCCGCTTTCGGCGCCCCGCAATCCACCACCGACGGTCCCTATTGTTGACGTTTCAGGTTCACGACGTGACGGCTTGTCCAGCGCTTGCAATACGAGACCATTCACTCAAGTGTCGTAAGTGTCTGCTATCTTGGTATTTTGCGTCTCTACCATGTATGGAGCTGCTGCACGTCCAAGCCCCAGTTTGATCAAGTACAAGTACATACAGAGTTCAGCGCTAGAATCGCGACAGGCCGCGGTTTTGGCCATTTACAAAAGCAATTCCAGGGGCAAGGCTGTCGCCGCAGGTACAAAGACAAAGTGATTGGCGGCTTGCTGGGAATATGCAGCCTTCGAACTCGTTGCTGGGGCGAACCAAGGTCGTCGTCTTTGCCCTAGGCCGTCGAACCAGTCTTTGTCCTCTTTGGGGACCAATCAGTGCCTTGGTGTGCGCTCGGTGCGCCATGCTCCAGCTTGTGCTTGCCAGGAGACATTTCCTCTTCTGAGCATGGAGCTGACCCTGAGCGAGCTGTATGCATGTGCACATTGCCCCGAACAACCTCCATATTGACGTCCTCTAGCGCCTCAGCCGTTTCTTCCTTGTCCTGTTCGTCGTCATTGGCATTTTGTGATTGGGAGAGTTGAGCGCTGCCATGTGCTAGATGCTTTAGCTTTCGCTGCAGGCCACTGACTTCGTCTTCAAGGGCTGCTTCAAGTCTGGTAATGGCAGCTGCATGATTCGACTTGAGTGTTTCAACTTCTTTGACGAGGTGGTCCATCTCGTCCTGAAAGCATGGACGCTGCAGGTTTGTGCGGTGTGATTGAGTAGGGGATTCGGTTGGCCGCTGCAGAGCATCCACTAGCTGCTTCAGGTCGGCCATCTCCTTCTGCCATTCCTGCTCCTTCTTGTGCATCTTAGCCGCCCATGCTCGGTTGAGGTTGTTGATTCTGTCCCCATGTACTGCTTCAATGTCCCGGTCCATGTCCAGCTGTACTTGCAAGTCCTTGGTCCGTCGAAGCTCGGCTGATTCACTCATGTAGACGACTTTGCTGACTGTGCCATGCCATTTTCTGATACGATTTGCCAGCCTTTCTGCACCCCGCCTGGCTCTTTCAAAATCCGTCCCGTCCAAGTATTCCATGCCTGCCTCCATGCAGTCTAGAACGCCACGGAGAGCGTCTTGTGGCGCTGTGGCGCTGGACGCGAAGCCGCTGCCGAGAGTAGTATAGGAGCGACTTGTGTATGGAGACATGGGCGACCCGTTGTCAGTGGGCACGGTCTTGACACTAACTCGGCCCGCATCCGAGTCATGCAATGAGCGCGCTATGGCTTCTGCGATGTCGTCTTCTTCTTGGGTGTTGGGTTGGGAATGCCCTTGATAGAGCGAGGCTGCCGGCTGGGTTATGATGTCTTGAGGCTTATTAGCGTATCTGACGGATTTTGCAGGTTTACGCAGCCATTTCCTCGAAGCATCCGTCGTGTGAAGGCCATGGATTGCATTAACGGGTCGTTCTGCAAGCTCGCCGTAATGCTGTGCATCTCTATTGCGTTGACGGATCCTTTGGGATGCGTGCCGGCCATTTGCTTCGTTTTCATCGGCGCTGCTGAGCGTGAGGCTGGTGGCTGTACTATCAATGGAACCAAGGCGCGCGCTGGGAGTGATGGGCGGCTTGCGTTGATAGGGTGTGTCGTTTTCAGCCATTTTGCAGGATGGATGTCTTGTGCAAAAGCAGTGGTTGAGTGGGGTTGCAAGTTGAGTACAGGTTGGGGCGATTCAAATGGGCGAAAAGTGAAAGGAAAGTCTCACGGCGCAAACATGTCTGGGTTCACGGTGAATGCCAACGGCGAAAGCTGATGTCGGAACAAACCTCTGTTTCCCCGCAGCTTTGCGCTTGCGGCGTCTCAACAGCACTCTTTATCATACATTTTCGTGTTTCCATGCAGTCGCAATTATTGTACAATCCGTCTTCAATGATTTCCTCGGGCATCTGCCAAACATGCCGGTCTTTGGCAAAGCGGGACGCAGTCTACTCGTTGCGAGCGGCGCGCGGGTACTGGAAGTTCCTGGGAAGAATCATGGGCCGGCGGGTGGCGCTGCTGAAGGCGTGGGCGGCGATTGGCGAACTCTCTGTTCGAATGGTCGTACCGATGGCCATGAAGAAGCTGGCGCCGTGTTAGCGCAGGCGGGCGGGCGAGGCGGGGGCTGGATACGTACCCAAAGGTGGCTGCTGAGCCCATCATGTACTGGCCCAGCGTCCGCAGCATGCCGTTGGGGCCTGGGCCGAAGCGGACAATGTTGGTGAAGCCTAGAAAAGTCAGCGGCGAAGGAGGGGCATTGCGGGCGGGGCGCACCGAAAATGAAGCCAATGATCAGGCCAACAGCTGTAGTGCAAGTGTCAGAGCGCGTGGGTCGGTTTGTGCGGGCATGGAAGCGTACATCCACCCATCATGCCACCCATCTTGACTGCATTGTGTTAGACGTCTTCAGGCACAGGCGGCATGGCGTGGGAGCATACGCTTGTCGAGCGTGGAGGGGCCGTGGCCCCCGTGCGGCATGGATCCAACTGGCACAGGCATCGCGAAGGCACTCGGGACGGCGGACGGCGGGCGGCGGGCGGCGGGCGGCGGGGCGGGCAGAGCAGAGGAATGAATGGATTTGGCGGCGCAAACGGCGGTGCCGCCTGATGGAGGGAAGCTTGCACCTGGTTGGGAGTGGGCGCGGCTCCATCAGCGCCAAGCCGAAGCCAGCGAAATCCGGGGAAGCGCCACTGCCACTGCCACTGCCGCCGGCGCTCGAGAGGCGGCTGACTACTCCAGTATGCTGGTAAGAGTCCTGTCACAGTCTGTACGCAAGCCTTTGCTGCCAGGCATCGTCTTCCCTGCTGGAGTCTCTCTTGGGGGCGGTTGGAGTCTCGCGCAGCACGCCAGCCCCGCCTCGCAGCCCTGCCCTTGCCCTGCCACTGTCTGTCCCCGGTCAGCGCACGTGACGTGCTCCAACATAGGGGCCCTTTGCCCTTCACTGTGGCCGTGCAAAACGAAGCAAAAATAGTTTTTGGTGACGGCCCGTTGTCTCGCGTGGCCTTCTCTCTGCCCTTGTCCTGTCCTGTCTGTCCTGTCTGCCCGCTGCTGTGCCGCCGTGCTGTTCCCCGTGTCGCTGTGCTGCTGCCGTGGCCTGCTCTGCTCTGCTCTGCTCTGTCGCGGTACTCGTAACAGTATTATCCGCCTGCCCGTCGCCTCGCCCACCTGGCCACTAAGCGTTGCAGTTAGACAAGGCCGCCGCCGCCGACGACGACAACCACCCTCCCGCCCTCCCCCCCCAGAAGACGCCCGTCCATCGAGTCGACCACGCTCCACCACCGCCGCCCATCCGCCACCACCACGCCGCCCGCTGCCGTTCTTCACGCTCCCCCCCAGAGAGGCTGCCGCTGCCGCTGCTGCTGTGCTGTGCTGTGTGCGTGTGTGCCCTGCATCCGCATCCCCTCGACCGACGTCGCACCGCACTCGCACCCAAAATCCCCCCCCCCCCCCAGCAGCACACGACAAGAAGCACGCCGGCGCAAAACCCCCCGGACCTCGACTCGCCACTCGCACCCCCAACGACCAGGCTGCATCTCCCCCCCGCGACGCTGGCGTGTATGAGAGCGGCTGCTGCCCTCGCCCTGCCCTCGTTGCTTGTTTTGGCGCCTGTCACGCTGGTGTCGCGCCGCTAAAAACGGAGAACACGGGAAGCGTGCAGGAAAAGTGACGCCCGCCTCCAAACACCACCACGCCCTTCCCGCCGCACCACGTCGCCAATGACGGCAGTTGCGCCCCCCGTCAACTATCAGAACATCAATCGGCAGGCATGGAGCGCTGAGGGCGTGCCCAACGGAGGTGGCATGTTCATGCCGCGGAAGAGCGCACAGCGGTCCAACTCGTCGTCGAGCCTCTCGTCACAGGCATCGGCATCGACGCTGTCGGCCTCGTCATCCTCATCACAGCCAAACGGTACTGCCCCCCTCAACGGCACCGAGTGGGCTGCCACCCGCAAAGCAAAAGCACCAAAGGGACTATGGCCCGCAACTAAGACTGAGCCCATCGCAGGAATCACCGCTGCCCGCTCGCAGCCCATCGCATCTGCAGGCCCCGGCTCGTCGGCCGCCTCGGCCATGAGCGCCCTCCAAGCGCCCTCCGCAATGGTCCCCTCGCAGCACAATGGCCCTGTCCCGGCCCAGCAGCAGCCCAACGGCGCCCAGCGCCCCCAGCCCCAGGAGAGCACCGCCGTCCTGCACCTGGTCCCCATGAACGGCACCTTTGAGCGCAAGACCATCACCGTTCCCTTCTTTCCCGACGTCCTGCGCATCGGCCGCCAGACCAACAACAAGACGATCCCCACCCCGCTCAACGGATACTTTGACTCCAAGGTCCTGTCCCGCCAGCACGCCGAAGTATGGGCCGACCGCCAGGGCAAGATATGGATCCGAGACGTCAAGTCGTCCAACGGCACCTTTGTCAACGGCTCCCGCCTGTCGCAGGAAAACCGAGACTCGGACCCCCACGAGCTGCGCGAATCCGACATGCTGGAACTGGGCATCGACATTGTCAGCGAAGACCAAAAGACCATTGTCCACCACAAGGTCGCCGCACGCGTCGAGCATGCCGGCATATACACCCGCTCAAGCAACGAGATGATGGACCTCAACTTTGGCGAGCTCGACGGGCCCCAGATGTCAAACATGATGGGCGGCGCCAACCAACAGCAGATGCCGGGCATGCGAGGTCGCACATCAAGTCAAGGCTCCATGAACAACCAGCGACTCCAGGGCCCTGGCGCCATGCCCAATTACCCCAATGGTCTACAGCAACCCCGCCACCCCAACTTCTGGCTGCAGCCCATCACCATGGAGCAGGTAGTCAAGAAGCTCAACGTGAGTGCAACAACTTGACACCAGCCTTCGCTGCGTATTGCTAACAAGAGCAGGCTGAGATCAAAGCCGCCAAGCAACAGTCGCAAGACCTCCAACAAGCCCATCAGTACATCAATGCCATCCTCTCGGCAGACCCCAAGAAGGAACCCACAAAGCCGTCTCCCATCAGCCAAGTCAAGATATCCCCCATCAAGGACAACAGCCTGAAAGCCAGGTTCTCAGACCCACCAGCGCCGCCACCACAACAGCCTTTGCCCGAGAAGCCCGATGTTGCATCGTCCCTCCGGAGGTCAGACATCGACCGTCCCAAGGCAGCGTCGCCAGTGCGGTCCGATCCGCAGTTGTCCACGCTCACCGAGGCCCTGACCAATGCCAAGAAAGAAATAGAAACACAGGGCATGCGGTTACGAGACCTGGAGACTCTGCTGAACGAAGAGCGCCGCGCAAGAGAAGACGCCGAAGAGCGAGCGGCCCGGCTCGAGCGCGAGACACTCAAGGACCACAGCGATACAGAGACTGTCGTGGGAGACGACGACATGCAAAAGTCTGACATGGACATGCCAGAGCACGATGAACTCACTGGCGTCGAAAACGGGAGCACAACTTCCAGCAGTGCCGATGACGCTGCAGCCCGCCTACAGTCGCGGCTGGACCTCATGATGTCGGAAATGAACGAAATGAAGCAGCAGATGGAGCGCTACCGCGAGCGGGCCGAAACTGCAGAAGCCAACAGCAAAACGCTGGCAGAGATGATTGAAAACATCCGAAAAGACAATGCAAAGGCCGCCAGCAAGGAAGCTCTCTGGCGAAGCAGAAGCGACAGCGCATCTGCAAAACCCGACGTCAAGGCCCAAGTACAAGCCGACCAGGCCGAGGAGGGTGAGATTACCATTATCCGGGAGGAAGACCTCGACGAAGACGGCCCAAAAGCGTCGCTTCCCGTGCACAGCCAGCAAAATGGACACATTGTTGTCCAGAATGGCTCAAAACAGGTTGGTAAACCAAAGTCATTGGTTGCATATAGAGTGGATCGAGACTCGATGTATTACGGCGGACCCGTTGGAGCCATGGTCACGGTTGTTGCAATAGGGGTGGCTGTCATGGCCATGCTTAACCAATACCCCAAGGGCGAGCGTTGAGGGGAACGAATGCAAGACGGAGCTTCATTGCTTCACCGGAAGAAGCTGGACTCCCGGGGCAGCGATAAGAGAAGGGGGTTTGAAGAGCATACGCCGCGTCCAGCGAGAAGACGTCGCTGTTGCTAGAGCTTGGATGCTGCAAGAGAGGGGCCAGAAGGTTAATACGTCGACGTATTCATCCGAGCATGCTCTTTGGCGATATTGTTAGCACTGCTGTTGCAGTATCGACTATACAGCATTTGTTGAATGGTTTGGGCATCACTTTATGAGGCCATACACATGACTGCAACGGCCTTGCCCAACCCAACCACACGACTAGACAAGCAACCGGTTATCAACCATAATCATCCAACTACCGACGACTGGACATTCCAGCCTCTAATGTCTTTGACGACATCGCATTCGCACAGCAAGCTTTCCTTTTCCCGGCTGGCGTACATTGCGGCTGCCTTTTGCTATGGCACGCTTTTCCATTTCACTGGCGTTGCAAAGGAGGGGGGAAGCGGAGGGCCTCGCGCCCTCCAGAAGTGAGACGATTATACATCATCCATCTCCCCTTGGACCAACGCCGCCTTGAACGAAGGACCTTGAAAACAACTCCGTGTGTGTGTGTTGACTGGTTGGAAGAGAGAAAAAAGAAAAGAAAAGAAGAAAACGACAATAACAACAACAAAGGAAAACAAGAAAAAAAAACACATGATTATATCACAGTATGCGCCCATACACACACACACTGACATTCACTGAGCGATTTACCTCCAAATTTTTCCTTTGTAGAAACAAAGTTCCTTTGTGGTATCCACTCTCTCTCTCTCTCAATCTCACTGTCTCTCTCTCTCTATATACTATCTTGTTTGCTTTGTTTTGTTTTGTTTTTCTACTGAATCATCTGGGCCTTATCTTTCCCCTTCCCCCCCCCTGCCTTCCCCGCCCCATTTTCTTTTTATACAGTGGAAATTGGAATCATGGGCTTTTAAGTTTTTGATGATTGGCACATATTATAGGCGGATCGAGTGAAGTTTTTATATATCTTTTAAAGGCTGAGTAAGTGGGTGAGTGGGTGAGTGACGGGGGAGAAAAGAGAAAAGAAGGGGAGGGAAAGAGAGAGAGAGAGAGAGGGGGGGGGGAAAGCTTGACCAGTAGTAAAGTTAATCTTTCGGTTTTACGGTGGAGATAAAAATTTGGTCGAGTGGTGATTCCCTCTCTTTTTCTCTTTTCCTTTCTTTCTCTCTATCTCTCTGTCCCTCTCTGTCCCTCTCTGTCTTCTTACTTATACTTTCAATGATATCTATCTTTTGACTCTCCTCCCCCCTTCTTGATTTTTCTATATTCTAGTTCTTGTGTCCCCGAGATATCGTATATCGGTTATTGGTCCGTGCGAATCTCTCTCTCTCTCTCTCTCTCTCTCTCTCTTTTCTTTTTCTTTTCCTTTTTTTCCCCCGCCCCGTGGCTATGTATGTACCCAGATAAAAAAGAAAAAAAAGAAAAAAGAACAGAAGTGTTATACAGTCCATGTTCATGTTCATGTCGATGTCATTTTTTCAAGTAAAAAATCCCACTGGAATTAACTTAGTCTAAGTACCTCATCTCATCGCAAATCCAATACTAACAGTCACACAACTCAACATGCGTACCCTCGTCTCAGGGATCTCATTCTCATTCCCATTCTCCTCCTCTTCCGCAGCGCCATCATCCAGCCTAACTTCAATATCATCAATCGCAGTCACATTCCCCATGTCAACTGTGACACTGCACTCGTCGTCGGCCTGGAAACACAAGGCTATTTCCAGCGCGCGCGGAATCGCTCTCCCAGTCGCCTTGATATATACTCGTTCCCCTCCTGCACCTCCTTTTGCACTACCTCTTCCTCGCCCCGCCTTCCTCGCCGCCTCCCCAACAATTTCTCTCTCCACATCCCGGGCTTGCAGCCGCCCGTTCGCCTGCACACCACCACCACCACTGCTGTTATTGTTATTATTGCGCCCCACCCCCTTGTCCCGCGCAGCAAGCCCTTGCTTCTCGCGCGCAGATATCTGTCCGAGTAATTTCCGCACGCGCTTCACAGCGGGGATGTACGGCGTGCGAGCGGTTACGTAGAGCGTTTTTGCGTGTGCGGCGCTTGCGAATGGCGTCGGGAGCGCGGGGTGCACGAGGGGTCGTTTGGTTATCGAGGTATCTGTATTATTCCCGGGTCAGTTGGGTGTGTATTGGATTGCGAAGGGGGGGGGGAGAAGAGAAGATGTACTGGATGGTAGTTTTGCGAGTTTTTGCCGGTTCTTGCGATGGGTTGTTGAGGCCGCTGCGTTGGAGATGGGCTTGGAGGGTGCCTGGGCTTTTTGGAGTGGTTTGGCTATTTTCTGTGGGACTTGGCTTGTTGTTGTTGTTGTACTGGGGGTTGAGGCTGTCTTGCTCGATGGTGGTGGTGGTTGCGCGCAGGGCGGTGTTGCGTCTGGCATTGCGATGTCTGCGGCGGGCGGAGCGGGCTTCACCTGGCCATTGACGGAGCGCTTCTTTCCCGGCATTATCTATGTTTTGACTAGCCTTGGCGAGTCGGTTGTGGTGATTTTAAAGAAACAAGACAAGACACAGAGTCTGGGGGTGGTTGTAGTCGCAAATGTCGCGTCGCGTCACAAAATCTTTATCGATAAGTAACGCCTTCACCCACCATCCCCGAATGCCTCCTCAGCCCCACAACGTCCTCATCCCCAACTCTACACCTGCAAACATGCTCTCGCAACAATGACCACCATGGCAGGCCCAATGCGGCTCAAACTCCGCCATATCCACCTCCCCGGCCTGGTCCCCTATGCCACGGCCGCCCGCCTCCAAGAAACACTCGTCTCGCGCTTCCTAGCCGCAAAGCCGCCGTCAAGCCAACCCGCACCTCCTCCCCACCTGATCACCGCAAACTTCCACCCAGTCTACACGTGCGGCCGCCGCGAAATCGGCAGCATATCCGAGTCACAGCAAGCGTACCTACGCGCGTCCAACCGCGCCGACTTTGTCGAAGCCCTGCGCGGCGGGCAAACGACGTTCCACGGGCCGGGCCAGCTGGTCGGGTACCCGATTCTCGATTTGCGCACCCACAAGCTGACACCGCGCCACTACGTCTGTTTGCTGGAGAAAAGCCTGATTGCGACGTGTGCGCGGTTTGGCGTCAAGGCTATCACCACGGAGCATACGGGTGTGTGGACGTCGCCCGACGATAAGATTGCGGCCGTGGGTGTGCACATGCGGCGCAATGTCACGAGTCATGGTGTCGGGTTGAATGTTAGTACGGATTTGTGGTGGTTTGATAGGATTGTGGCGTGTGGGCTGGAGGGGAAGCGCACGACGAGTTTGGAGAGGGAGGGCGTGGAGGGTTTGAGTGTGCAGAGTGTTGGAGAAGTGTTTGTGGAGGAGGTTGCGCAGAGGCTGGAGGGTGTGGATGGGGTGGAGAGCGTGCCGGAAGAGGAAGTTTTGGATATGTTGAGGAGTTGATATTGGAGGTGGGATAGAGTTTATTTGGAGCATTTTGGTGTGTTGAGGATGGATGAGGTAGAAGGATCGCTTGATACCCTTGCAATTTTGCGGTCGAGTTATCGTGATGGGAATGGGCTGTGTTGTATCGGCATATCACCATTGGGGCGTTGCACGTATCACGAACTTTCAGAGAAGGCTGGATATTTGCATGCTGGCTTCAAGCTCCAAAGCCATATACTGCATGTGATAGGAATTTGAATTTCAAGGCTAGATTCAGTCACTCTGGACTGCAGTGTTATCGGTCTTCATCTTGACCTTAAGTGAACAGAAAACTCCCAAATTCTATGATATAATCAGACATCTTCAAAACGGTATATATCTCTACTTTAACAGGAGCCCTACTTGCTACCTAACGGATATATCCCCCCAGCGCAATCTCAAGGAAACAAGAGAAGAAATAGAGAAAGCCACAACATTCATCAGTAAGATACAACGTTGAAACTTGCTCTTAATACAGCTCTTACCTTGCTATATTAATGGATAAATAAAAGTCTCTCACCCACCACCACTCAATGCGGTAAATGCGCCTTTTTCCATTATGAAGTAGTATACGCAGGGTACAAAACAAGTCACATGCCACCGCTACTACCATCACTACATTAACACGGTAAATATATCTTGCTAATAACCACAAAACCCACACCTAAACTTCACAACTCCAACGTATTCCTGGGCGGAGTGCCTATCACCTATCTCTTACACACACTTGGCGCATCGAAATCTTACACACGACACAAGGCAGTGACAAAAGTTCGGCACTGTGGAGATAGAGTTTGGCCGAGGGCGCGCCGCAGTCGGACCGTTTACTCTATGCGTACAGTCCTGTATGGCTGGACAGGTTGCCGTATCCCTGGCTATGATCTTCTGCCACTAATCCATGTGTGGCCGTTGTGCTGTGCATGGTTTACTTGGTTTTTGGGCTTTTGAGGCGGCGACGGGTCGGGGCGAGCGAGCCCATCCGTCTCGAGCGATGCGGATGATGCCGGGCGAAACGGGCGAACGGGTGCATGCGTGTGGAGATGGAGATGCGAAAGGTTGCGTATTGGAGCCCTCGTGGGGATGCTGTGTTGTATTTTGTTAATGGTACCCTGGGTACTTTTAGTTCTGGATTTTGGATTTTGTGTATAGTTTCTTGGTGTTTACGCATCGTAGACGGTATATGTGAAGAGTTTAGACTCATGGTCTAAGGATCAAATGCTTGCAACAAGTATATGGCTTGTGTCTGGCACAGCCGGGCTACTCGCAGTACTGATACTTTCCATCGACGACGTGCCCTGTACAAACAAGTCTTACATGCCCATACTCCCACCCATCTTTTTGCGATTACACTGGCTCGGCATTTGGGTGCGAGAAACTCAACGAAAAAAAAATCAGTCGTTTTTTTTTCTCTCTATCCGCATACAGACGTTGCAGAATGCCGAGGTTTTTTTTTATACGTATTGCTTTTTTTCTTCACGCTTCTCCACGTGTATCCCGTGGTCGGAAAATTGATACACAGCCGACGCCGACACACTTGGAGGGTGCAAAAGAAAAACAAAACAAAGATAAAAACAAAAGTATGATCAAAGGCGGTCGAGATGCCAACAAGCTCTCTTTCTTGCATTAGCGAGAGGGGGGGATTCACGCACACGCCTAGCATTTCCTTCTCAACGTCAATGACAACACGACAGTCAAGATACCGCCATGTCAACGAGGCCCTGTTCCCTGTTCCCTGTTGTCGGGCACAGTAGCCGATATGTCCCACACTGACCCTGTGCATGATTCGTATACCGTCCGCCTGTTCAGCCATGGCGGGAAATGCCAGCGCCACTGTATCCTGGGGGGGCTTGCATTATGCACGTATACCCAGGATCATACTGTGGAGCAACCCGCCCAGTTCCATTTGTAGGCCTGACAGCAGCCATGGCGGCGGAGCGGCCCAGTCCTCGAGAAAAAGGGGGGCAGTCGAATATGCAAGTCTCTCGGTTCCGACACAATGTTCGTGCAATATAGCCAGGCCCTTTTCGCCTCCAAATCTGACGCCCGGTTTTCCCATGGCTGGGGCGAGATCGATCGGCTCCCTCACCGTGTACATGTATCCCTGCATCAGCAAGACTCGGGGGACATGTGTATGTAGCTCGCTAGCAATTCATGCGCGTTTTGACTTGCTTTTTCCCTCTTCTCTTGCACTTGGAATCTTGTACGACAGACGTGATGCGGCATGACACTCCGCCAAATGCATGGGGGGTAATCCGCTGATCTAGGCCGTTTTATCCTGCCTCTCGGAGCAGCAGGCATGTATGCACGTCACATGTGGATGTCGTAATGTTGAATCTGGATTTTTATCCCCCTCTTCTCCACGCCACAGCCCTCAGCAACGCCACTTCACACACATGAGGATAATGAAGCTGACACTCGACAGCCGTAGAGTTCCTGGTGGGGGTCCCACTTAACCCGGCGGGCGGTTAAAGCCCGGTATACAGGCTATCTTTTTGGTAGACGGCTGACGATCCAGCCGAGCCCGAGTGTCTGGTCATGGGGACACAATCCACATGGACGTGGGCGTTAGAGGAGTAATTTATCACTCTTTGCGATACGCGAAGAAACGCGTTGTGTCCCCGGTGCATCCAAACATCGTGGGCGCCCTACGCTAGCAAAGCGAGTTAAGTACAGGGGTGACTTTGACGACAAAAAAGTCGGGCCTCTGCTGTTCGCACCCAGTGCCGCATACAGAAGATGCTGATGTAACCCTGATCTATACAGCAGCCAATCACACTGCCAACCCAGCTTGCAAACATGTTTTCTTATTTATTACGGCCTGTTAAGACTCCACTTCGACCTTTTGCACTTGGGATCCGCCCTCCATTGCCACAAAAGGTATTTTGCACGACCGACGAATCCACGTCCTGCAAGTGGGCAGCACCCCCCTTTCGTCACATTCTGGAGCCCCTGCATCACATCACACGTTCTCCGTCCTTCCGGCTCGGAGACTCTTCTGGCTGGGGGGCGCTGCACAACCAACACGGTTTAACATACGTGCCAAGCTCGCGTCTAGTTCGCTGCCTTGCGTAAACTACATTACTCATTCCATACAACCAACAACTGGAATTCCCAACCAACCTCATCACATGTTTCTGCCTGGTAGAGGATGGGTGATGTAAGAAATGGTGTGGGGGCAACGGTCGAATCAACCGCGCGTCACATGGTACAGGCTTTTTGATTTGGAATCGTCCTCCGAGGACTTCCTTCCAGATAGTACCAGTGGGGGAAAAAAGGAAAGGAAAAAAAAGGTCAGAAAGCATTCCATGGAGATTCAACGGTATAGCTGTGACAAAGACTCACTGCCACAATGTGTCAGAGAAATAGCAAATCAAGTTTATTTTCTTAGACTTGCCGTGTACGATCCATTCACAACCATGGGCTCGGCTTGTCCCACGACAGTAGTGTCGGTATCCATGCGCACTTCGAGCATCATTCCCTTGTGAACTTTTCCGTTCAACCTGGCGGCCGCGTGTTGCGCCAACTCTTTGGAGGCGAACTTGGCAGTGGCTGCGCCTCTGAAAGCCCCTGTCCGGCTGTCTCGAATGAACTGGATGTCGATTGGATACCCCACAGTCTGCGCCAGCAGAGCATTAAGCTCTTCCATTGTGCATTTGTAGCTTAGGTTTCGAATAAAGATGCCCCGGGCTTCGGTGAGTATCGCCCCTCCTCGGACATTGACGGGTATCCCATTGGTCGTGGCCGAGTAAACCGGTGGACTCGAAAGAGCAAAGGCTGAATACACAGGGATAGGGGCGTATCCCGGTTGCTGCTGTGGTGGGTAGACTGGCGTTTGTGGATACGCCAAGTAGGGATAGCTGGACTGTGCCGACAAGTATGGGGCCGGAGTGGCAGGTGCCGTTCTGCCACCACCACCACCACCACCACCACCCAGCTGGCTTATTCTTCCAAAATCTATACCCCGTCCATCGAAGTGACCGCCATCTGGGATTTCCGGAAAGGTCGTCGAACAGTTACACCGCATCAACCGGTAGCCGTCACCCTTACGACTCGTCTCCCACACATGCACTAGCATGCCTCTAGCTCGGCAATAGACCTCTGCAAGCAAAGTCAGTTATACCTCTCCCTTGCCAAAATATCGAAACACGTACTATACACCGCATCTGCATCTTCCCTATCTTTCAGTCGACACCATCCCTCCATTTCTCCTTTTCTTTGGCCCTGACTCGAGTATACGTTGGCCCATCCTGGCTGCTCCTTGACCACTTTCCGGAGGTGATCCTTGAACTCTTGCCAACCGGCCAGGTATGGTGCATAGCGTGTCGTTCCGGATACCACCAGCAGAAAATCCCCATCTCCTTCTTTCCAGGCTCCCGCAAACGACATGCTGATGAGATTTGGACTGGACGAATTCAAACCGTAGTTTCTGTACAAGTAGTGGACAAGATGGTTTCCTTATAGATTCTTGTATTTTGGCAGCTTCTGAGCAAGTGTGATACTTGGTACTGGAAGATGAAATAGAGTAGAACGAGTGCCGAGAGATTAGGTAGTACTGGCTCTGTACTTATATTCCTCTTCCGCGGAATCGTTGATACCGTGTTCTGCCAATGTACATCATGTTCTAATAATGGTTGGGGGGCATTCGTTTGGTTGTCGTTTAGACACACCGAGTTGATGGGCTCTGTGGCGTGGGCGGGGCGTGGGAAAGAGAAACCCCTGGGGACCAACCCGCTGCCCCGATCGGATCTAATGCTGGGGCTGTGCCCGGATATGTGGCGGAGATCTAGCATGGTAGCCAGAGAGTGTCAATTGGCGCCACCAACGGGATGCTGTACACGATACCATCCATCCGGCCAGAACACCCCTATCAGCTCGTGGAAATATGCTGCATCACCTATGGAGATCTTACCCTTAAAAGTCTTTGCCATGTTTAGCAGACCGCATTTTCAGCTTTGGCTTTACACTCTGCATCATGTAACATGGCCTCAACTACATGTATGGTTAAAAAGCAAGTACTGGACAGCCTGGCATTCGAGGCTTGTGAAGCTTGCAATCCATCTATGTGGGTCACTGATAACCGAGCCGCTAGTATACACAACTTGTTCTGTCAGTGAATTATTTTAATCCAGTGTGTGAGCGCCGCTAGTGTCATTGTTGTATAGATTGTAGCCAGTTACCGTATCGCGTTCTGTGAACGTCTTGCAGCTGTCAACCTGCATGAGGACCTTCATTTTTGACCGGCTCGTGCTCGCTTCTTATCGAGGCGCAGCTTGCAACAATCCAAAGCCTCGCTATTGAACAAGCGGTGGCTGCGCGTGCTGCGCGTGAATTCAGCCGCAGGTTTCAAAGCCGCTGCCTATCAGCGGACGACTGGCTTGTCACGATGAAGCCAAACGAAAGCTCCACAGGTCCGGATAAAGACTAGTAGAATTGGATTACGGAGATCTCCATATGATGAGCTTCTGGTCGAACCCCCCACTTATCAAGTACTCTGTCTTTTCATCATTGCTCGGGTACCGATTAGCCGTCATGTGGCCGGCCCAGAGGCATCGAAGTTTGGAGCCAGGGTCGTGTGCCTCGAGGGACGAAACTAGCTTCCCGCTCTTTGCCTCGATGCCGCGTACAACCCCGTCATCGGAGCTTACATATAAACCTGAACCATCAGGGCGCCATACCAAGCGCGGCGTCGAGTAGGACGTTTGTGGCGCTAGAGTGGATACGTTGACTAAGATGGCGGCTTCCTCCCTGTCTGCAACAGCCAGCTCTGCACGCGCTTGCGCAGCTTGTGTGACGGGCTCGTCTGGAGATGGGCTGATTACTGCAGCAAGCCCAGAAGAGCGAGTCGGAGGCAGGAGAAGCTTCACTATCAGTAACTTCATGTGAGGCGTGCTGCATAAGTAAAGGATACGAGGTCAGCATGTATTACATGCATAACGTGCATATAGACTCACCTGGATGTTGCGATGGCGACCAGATGTGGCTTGGATGGGCAGATCTGTATATCAGAAGGGGTGAATGCGATCCAAGCGTTTGAGTGAGGAGCAAGATTCTGTTTTCCTATAAAGGTGAAGTCTGGAGAATCTGGACCCGGAACAGCATAGTAGTGGAGAAATGTAGAGTCTCTTCGAGCAACCACCAGAGCTGGCGTGCCGTCTCCAGGCAATGTGACAAACACCATCGACTCTGGTATACTCGGTAAAGTCAACGTTGCTATTGGGTCCCCGAGCTGTGGCTTCTCGGCGCTGACATCAAGACGATATAGGAATACCTTGGCATCCCAGCCTGCACTGGCAATCAAGGTTGAAGATCCATTTGTTGAGAATGTGGATAGCTTGACGAGATATTTGGTGTGGTCTTTACGTTCCTCCATTACCCGGTTGTTTGCCGTATCGAATAGGGTCAGCCTGCCTGACATGGAGGCGATGAGAATACTTCGGGAGTCTATGGCAACAATATCCAAAGTCGGTGAGTCTTGGAAACCGGAAAACGTCTGAGCAAGCGCAAATTCTGATGTGCGTGGATCCAGCAAGTGTAGTTGGCGGTCAGCCGTCGTGACTGCAATATACTGCCTAGTGTCTGCCATGGATGGCAACACGAGATTCAAGACTACTATGCTAAGTATGTTGGACCGATTCGGGAGAGATCCCACAATCTTGGGGTTGGTGGGAGCCTGGATGGCCCATCCTCGCTCGGTGTCATCAACGCCAAGCTTTTCAAAACTGAGGCTGAGATCAAACTTCTTCTTCTCTTGTAAGACAGACTCGATTGTGACGAGATCATCTGAAGACGCCCCAATATCAGGAGGCAATTCGGCTTCCTGCACAAAGCTGTCCAATGTCTAAGCTAGTGTTAGGCGGATGATACCCGTTCAGGCATGGGGTGACGTCACCTGGGTGTATCCATTAGCTCTGAGAAATCGTGCCACCAACTCGGCGGCCGACGGAAGCATGGTATACAGGTAGAGATGACGTCCTACGGTTGTTGTATGGGTCGGTTGATACTGAGCCGATATGTCGTGCGCAGGCGTGCAGGCGTGGAACAGTGGGCTGGTGAGGGAAGGGCCGGATGGAGCTAGCATGTTTATCGATATCGAGTGACCCCACAACGTACCCCAAATAAGATTTTGGAAAGAAAAAGGACTGCAACAAGGACCACTTCGACTCGCCATTCAGTTTTTCTACCATGGAGGCAAGTCTTATTTTGTTTCTTCATGTCGCCACCCCTGACCATAGCAGGACACTATCCTCTTGCGTCGAAAATTGACGGAAAATCTGGTTGCACTACAACACACTACACCTGAACAGCCCTACAGCATTCTGCATCGTCTAAAACTCGCCAGAGCCTACAAAGATCTTGGCTACCCCGACCTCGCTGCTGGAGATGCTTACAAAGCATTGATTCTGGTAGATGAGTTGGCCGAGGAAGGCGAATACCATGATGAAGCCCTAGAAGCAGCACAAGCCGACCTTGTCCCAGAAAAATTGGCAGACCTGTCCATAGGTGCCGAAAAAGAGACAGTTCCTTCGGAATACAATGATACTATTACTTATGCAAAGACGAAATGGTCAAGAGCAGCGTATGTAAGCAGTTTAGGATATTTGTGACATACTGCGAAGCTGACTTTCCAAGCCATGATATTCTCATCGAAAGCTTATTAGATTGCGGGTGCTTACGCAGTGCATTTGATTACATTGCTCGTGGCATGAAAGCATTCCCTGAAGATACCACCTTTAAGACTCACGATGAGACCCTATCACAACGTCTGAGGTCGCACTTTGGAGAAACCTTTGAGGATGCAGAAGTGGATGACTACCCCGACAAAGGACTTGTTCGCCGTGAAAAGTATCCTTGGAATGACTACGAGCCGGACCGCTTTTCGGCGGAATGCTTGGACTTTCTCAACAGCGAGCTCGCAGACATTGCGCCACGATTGGAAGTGAGAGTGTCTGAACTACCCCTCCTCACCACCAGCTCCACCGTAAACGGGACATCTTCAGAAACAAAGTACTCTAAGCAGCTAGGACTGTTTGCCAAGGAGGATATAAAGCCCGGAGAGACTATCCTACAGGAGAAGTCGCTGCTTACAGGCATCTCCAGACTGCACGAGTCATATTGCGATGCCTGCAGTATACCACTCTCCAACTCTGGGGACACAGCCGACGAAATCATCACCTGCGAAGAATGCAACGAGGTCTTTTTCTGTACAGAAGAGTGTCACGATCTTGCCCAGGATCATTACCACCCCTCAATATGCGGAGTAAGCGTCGATCAAAGCAAGGTACCCGCTCGCGAAGCAGCAGACTATCTCTACAGTCTTTTACTTGTCCGCGCGTTGGCATTAGCTCAGACCCAGGATCTCCACCCCCTGGAGCTGAAGGAATTACGCTATATCTGGGGGGACTACCATGGTAAGGATCTCGATACTGCATGGAAAGCAGATACATCTGGTCGTCTAGCCGATGCCTTTGCACAGGTGCCGCAAACTTTATTTTTTTCCTTCCACAGCAACGTACTCATGCCAATCCACGTTCTCGAGCAAATGGATGTCAACATCTTTACCGAAAGCCACCGCTACGACACGTGGATCTTCAACACACTATATGCAAAGTTCCGGGGCACCGCGTCTGCACAACAAGGCTTGGACGGGAGACCTGAAATCAGCGCTGTACACCCCATGTGGTGTCTTGCGAATCACAGCTGCGATCCAAACGTAGCATGGGAGTGGCGGGGCTCCATGCGTTTCTGGACACGCAAGGAGCTCGTCGAGTGGAAAGGTAGAGATCCTCTCAAGGGGCCTGGGCTCAAGAAAGACGAAGAAGTCTTTGGCCATTACTGCGACGTACGCCTGTCAGTCAAGGAGAGACGCGAGTGGGCAGTTGGCGCCCTGGGCGGCGACTGCATGTGTTCCAGATGCGTGTGGGAAGAGGCGTTTGAACGCCAGCAGGGTATTGCTCAGTAGATGCAGGGGTCACATTGAGCCTGTTGACATCGGTGAGGATACTGCCGTGCCGCAATCGACACAGCATAATCCAACCAGGAACCATACGTTCGACATGGATGAGCTGCGTGGGGGCACAGTGCTGCGTTATCGAGCGGCAAAAGCCGTAATTGCGAAGTACACCAAGAATATGAGCTTATATGATGAAAAGAACAAAAATGACGATATCAAGGCTTTGCTACCATCCACCCATCAACTCATCAACCTGGCACAACCCACTATCAGCAGAGCATCGGCGCCACACGTCTACTCTTTCTACCAAGCTACATTCAGCCGCTCTGCATGTGTGGCGCCCGCAAGAATCAGGCCACATTGTCTCCCCCTCCCTTCCCTAAATAGTCCCGATTTACAGCCACCCACACGCAGACAAACGTTGCACCAGATCTCCACATTTCCAACGCGACATGAACGCGGGGCCCTGCATTCTCTTGCTACTCCTAACTACTGCCTTTCTGTACTATTCCAAGGCAGTACCTATTTCCCGAGTGTCGTACATGTATGCATGAATGATGCGTGCATTACACTCACATTGACCAACCACACCACACACCTTTTCGTTTTCATTTTTCAAAAGACTACATGAAGCGCCTTCGTCATCGTCAGCCCCAGATGTTTTCTTGAAACGGGGGGAGGGGGATCGAATTACATTGGTTTTGAAATGTCCATACCACGGGTACAGTACCACTTCTGCTCATTACCACCACTATTAGGCTCAGCCCCCCAAAGCTCGCCATATTTGCCTTCATTTTCTCCTTCGCTGGAGGTGGTGGCGATGTGCGTTTTTTTTTTTACAAATATCACTTACACATACACATACCTAAAGATGTCGTATTGCCTTGCCTTGGCCCCCTTCCCGCCCCACCGGTCCCCCACGCTACACATACTCCGAGTAACACCTAGCAATAAAACCTGTGATGGAGGTACATGGCGTGTACCCCCTGCCGATCCAAATCTCTGTACTACAGGGCTTTGGATCGGAGGGTTCTGGGACCTAAGTAATATAATTAGCACACACACACACACACACACACATACACACACGCATATATACGTACACATCCTGATCTCTTATAAATGATAGCGGTAAGCTGCCTGACCTGAACTATAGATCCGACTTATGTTTTTTGTTACTGTCAGCGGGAGATGTATTCAGCTTACTGGCGTTATTGACCGCAGCTGTAAATTAGACACTCTACTAGGCGAAGTATCACAGCAAGAAGCTGGTAGGTGAAGCGATCTTATATTAACAATAAGATAAAATAAGATATAGTATGATTTCCTAGTTTACGATGTTATAAAAGCTCAGGTAAAGTGAGGTAGAGAAGTATAGCCAGACCGCGTGTAACGGCGCAGGTAAGGCAAGTCGGATTTGTATTAGTAAAAGGATTAATTAGAAACACATGGAAGTACGTGGGATTATAAAAGGACTTAGATTTCTAAAAAGCTACCTATACCCCTTGTACGAAAGAATATCGAAAATCGCCAAAACTGGATGTACACGCTTCCTCTATAGTTATATATTTTCTCGCAGTACGCCATGTCAGCTCTGGTTGGATCTGGTTCGGGTCCAACTTTATCGGTACCCCTTACCTTGTGGCAAAAGTCTTGTCTTCACAATTCTGAGATGGAACGGCATATACTGCTTCTGTACCTATCCTAAGGCTGTTCCAACCTCAGTACCGCGATATTGTTGTTATATCCGCGAAAACCGACTTTTGGAAGCCCTGACACTGGTATTCTGTATTTTGCTTACTCGGTGCTCTTAAATTCCTAATCAGAACCCAATCGGGCAAGTCCTAAACTTCCCCGAGTAAGTCTAGTATAACACTAAGCCCTAGTAAATAGCGAAGTTGAATGTAGAGAACACGTGATTCTTTGTCATTATACTTTTACTTGGATAAGTATAGCTTGCTAATCTAACCATCGCCTTCTTCCACAAAAGTATGCTTTCCAGTTTTCTTTTAGTCGTGATAGAGATGTGATATAGGGGCTCTTAGTGCCTCCAAATACTGCATGAAAAATGCTCTATTGTAGGTATTTATTTTTGCAATATTTTGATGCACTAAGTAGGAATGCATGTTGGATCGGTATTTGAGTCTGCGCCCCGACGAGTGCAAAAACAAGTATCCAATGATCTGCAACATAATGTCAACCTTAAAGCGTCCGATAATATAGAATCGGCAATGGTATTCCTACTACTCACCCTTGGAAGACTGTAAAGGAAGTAGTTGCGATTAGTGTTAGTCACACTGTTGCACGCGTCGTAACAGTCTTGATCGCTATTTTCCTGAACACAATAAATTTGTCCGCTGAGATAAACACAGCCGGGCGCGCCTTTGGCTTTACATGCACTCAATGAGAGGGGGCAGCATAATTCTGGAATCGCCGCGTTGCGTGCCACCGCGGTTAGGACGAATGTAGCCACAGTGGCAATAAAAGTAAACCTTGCCATTGGAAATAAGAGTGAAGGATCGTCTTTGGTCCAAAGTAAAAATGTTTTATTTTTGGGTCCGGAATGGGGTCAGAGTCTTGGATGGTCAAATTTGGTGAAAAGATGGAACAGCATTGACGATGCAGGTGGAGAAACATATACCTACTTATACCTTGGATATGATGATTGACGTGCTAGAGAACAAGACTAAACCCCTATAATACCTCTTGACCGCTAGGGAAATGTAAAATTAGATACGAGCACAAAAGGTGATCGGCGTTCACAATAGGAAATATGGCGGCTTAGGCGGTAAGTGGTTGATGGACAACTAGTAAAACAAGTGGGAATGAGGCACTTTCTTCGATTCGGCCCGCGGATTCATGTGTATCATTAGCAGATAGAGGACGAATTACGACCACGCCTGTGGTCTAAGCTTTGTCATCTCCTTGAAATACGAATCTCACCGCCACCATTCCGTGGATGCCGAGCTATACAGAGGTGGCTTCCAAAAGTTCTTGCTTCGAAGGAGCCCGCCTTTAGTGTGTTCCTATCTGACCCTACACATATATTGAAAAATAAAGCAACAGCTCAAGAAGAAGAATATATTTTATTCTCAGAGTATACAAGCTATGTCTCTCTATAGAGAGCTAGCAGCCACGTGTATCGGAAAACATTTCATCCTGTTGTTATTCTAGTTAATAGTAATAACAATCCAAACACACGCGTAATAGGTGGGAACGCACTAAATACAAGCTCCTTGGTAGTGCCGGTCAATCATTAAGCTTATCGGACCGAGACTTCTAGGCATAGAGCTGACATTCTAGAGAGGTATTACGAAACCGTACATACATTACGTAGACAGCTAATGTAGTCAGCTATTTTTTGTTGAGATGGCTCCTAATATAGATCGATCGACGCACGGCTTGATTGTTACGTTAAGGCCTTCCCTTGAAGGCAGATTAGATTAACAAGCGATCTCCTACAGTTAAGCCTTCCCCCTACGTACATGGCGAAAAACGCTTGCGTTGCGAGAAGAGAAACGGGGAGTTTCTTTCACACTCCACTAGTTTCAATCCGTATTCACAGCATACGTATTCGTTATCAACAATTCAATAGTAGTATTAGCAAATACAAATCTAACTTCAATCCCAGTGTGTCGGGACACGCGGTGTGACGTGACACTTTTCTCCCGGGGGCCCGGCATGCTCATACGATGCATGCAAGTCGGCTAGTCCAGCGTGTATTGTCCTTTAGCTCCTTCTCTTCTACTGCATTTCTCTCCGGTGTCAAAAGAGAATCGCCGACTGTGCTGTTGCTCTCTTTGCTAGTGTTGTTAATCAACCCACTCTAATAACACCCCCTGCTCGTTTGCAGTCAAGTAGAAGTAAATATGAAGAACTCAGCAGTTTAGGGCGCGAGCTGAGAAGGCGAGGATCCAGACTGCGGCCTTGGAATATTTATTTCTAGGTGACTATGAACTATGTAGTCCAGCAATGTTGCTACGCAGACAACAAAATCTTCAAAATGCCCCTGATGCGCGCTGTGGCTTTGAGAATGATATCTTAGGTAGCTTTTATTCCCGGCTGAGCAGGCAGTCGTCTCCTGGGTGCGGGTTTTAAAAAGCCCTCCTCTGGGCTCACCTTGTCAACCACTCGTGCCAGGCACAGGCACTATTGGTTTTTCGTTAACGTGGTTCACAAGCGAGTCGATCACCCAAGCGAGTCGATCACGCTCCACCGGCGCGTCGACGTCGACACGTTATCACAGTCTTTTATCACAGTTAATAAACTATTACAATATACTAAATTAATTGTTAGAATCGCTACTATCACTTGCACTATCTATCTCAACCGCGCAGGTACGAGCGTTGTGTCCAGTCTGCTTGCACCGCCTCTCTCCTCGCACCCTCTTCGACGCACTCTCACCATCACCACGACTGCTACCCGCCTGTTCAGCTATTACTTCTTGTACCTCGCCTACAGTAAGAGTCTCTTCTGTCCGTACGTATCGCCGCTTACGGCTCTTACGCTTATTTGATTCGTCTAGAGCTACTCGAAGAGTACTCATTTCCTCTATCATAAGCGTCATTTTATGTGCCATTTGCTGAGCCCCCTTACTCAACTACGCAATCTGCTTAGTAAGTGAATTGGCAGAAGACCTACAGCGCTTTCTCACGCTCTCTCGAATAAGACTAATTTGAGCCTCGACTTCGCGCGCGTTGCGTGGTGTCTGCGCCTCCCAGGCGGCTGCCTGTCGTGGCGATTAATGTAGTGTCCGCACCACCACATCAAGCTTTAATAGCACAGCCTGTGGGTCGTGTGGGACTAGACCAGCGCCTCTAAAGCCAGCTTGGATATTCTCCTTTGTAATAGACTGCTCAAAAGCAGCCTTAAAGGCTAGTAGGAAGGTCTCTTTACTGATATAGCTGGTGCGGTTGCGTGCCAAGCCTGAGATCGAGTCGCCATACTTGCGCTTCAACGGCGAGAAGCAGGCGACATCAAGAGGCTGCAATAGGTGAGACGAGTGCGCA